TAACTAGTAGTAGTAGTTAGTTAGTTTAGTTTAGTTAGTAAGTAGTAGTTAGTTAGTTAGTTACGTTACGTAGTAGTAGTAAGTAGAGTAGAGAGAGGAGGGAGGGGAGGGGAGGGAGGAGGAGAGAGAGAGAGAGAGAGAGAGAGAGAGAGTATTGGTTTTCATGACTTGTACACTTCTGGCAGGCTATTTACAGTGTATGCCCCATGAAACGTTCAAAATACCCACAGGCAATCACACACAGGAATAACACTAATTAAGGCAGTCACACACAGGAATAACACTAAATAACTTGATCTTTTGCAAAAAATTAATATCCAACAAATCAAACAAAAGCCACTTATCGTTTTGTTAACACAATCTTATAAAGGCTACTGAATGCTGCTACTGGTATCTAGGCAATCCATTGTTCAGCAGTATAAATTCCTGACCAAAGCAAGGCCAGGGTTTATGTTTTAAGCCAGTTCTTTTCGAATCCATTGAGCGATGTCTCCTTGTAACTGAGTTAATCCTTTTGGAGAGTAATCTGATTTATTTTAAGCAAACAAATAACTAAATGGTTAAGATTTATAGCCAAAAAGTACTTCAAAGAGATTATTTTCAATATATCCATGAGAATAGAAATAGAGGAAGATACCACAAATTATTAGAGCTGGATGGATGTTCTGATGTGACCGTTGAATAATAATAAAACTGAAGGGCAAGTTCCATAGGACGGCTATAAGACTAGCCAAGCTTTATGGGATAGAATGTTGAGCAGTCAAAAACAATGTATCCATAGAATAGGTATAACTAAGATAAGGATGTTGAGAAAGATGAGTCGCAAGACAAGAAAAGATAGAATTCGGTATGAATACATCCAAGGAAACTTAAGGGTGGCTCCAATAGACAATAAAATGAGGGAAAATAGACTTGGGTAGTTTGGCCATGTGCAACATCGACCTAGAATAGCACCAATAAGAAGGTACGCCTTGTTCAAGTAGAAGGCTCTAAAAGGGTAACGAGGAGGCGCAAAATGATATGGATGGAAGTAGTGAGAAAAGATATAGTGACTTATGGTTTGACTAAGGGTATGACCTTTGCAAGTGTGTCAAGGTGGAACAAGATTCGTGTAGCCAACTCCAAATAGTTGGGATACGGCTCAGATGATGGTGAAACAAATAACTAAATAGCTTCATCAAAGGCTAAACCAATAGGAAAACATAATCAACTGTTCTGCCAATTTGATGGGCATTGAATAGTCAGCATAAATAATCGCTATGCCTTTATTTTCTTTTTCGCTTTCTTCTTCCTTTTCTTTTTTCTTTTTTTTCTTTTTTTTGAGGAACACCATTATGCCTTTATTTTCTTTGGCCGCATCAGATATTGGAGGCAATCTTGCTAATAAGGAACGTGGATGGTTCAAATGGGTGATCTTTCTTTGATAAAATCTTATATCCTAGCAAGGCTAGGTGGCAATAAGATAGCTAACTTGTGGTTTGGAGGGATGATTTTGTATGCAACGAAGCTTTAAGGTAGGGTTCCCAGGATTCCCAAGAACCCATGAATTCCAAACCACTATAAAGAACCTCAAAATAATAAAATAAAATAGGCCCAAAATATTCATTAAGGGATGAAAACGCAATCCAGTTTTGCAGTCATAAGCATGCAACAGTTATGCATGCAGCAACTTAGATCAGAAGCATAGTTGCTTCAGTTTGCTGATTCGCATCTTGCACTAAATTGCTGGCCATGCAAAACAACATGTTTTCTTTTTCTTTTTGTAGGTTGGTGGCAGGAATCAGACCTGGGACATTGAGAGACAATTCTCACCACCATAACCATCAAACAACAACATGCAGTACATTGAGGCCATAAAACTGAAAATATGATTACAAAAATGCAATACATCCGTTCCAATCGGTTTCACAGAATGACTACTGCATTGCATAAATGGATCCAAAGTATGGAAAATTGAATTAAAAATTTGAGTTAAAATAGTAAATTCAAAAGAAAGACCCAGATGAGTAGTTTTACAAAAGCACAGAGCACCCAACTAAAATAAGATTTATGTTTTCCTTTAATAACCAAACAGGATTACTGTCTTCTAGTTTATATGTCGCTACAAGCCCAACCGCATGTCCATTTACCTAGCAGAGTCGAATCATTATTCCATCATATCACATACCTGATGTCCCATTAGTGAGCTCCACCACGCTTTTGGCATCAGAGTTTTGCTTGTCATCATTAATACCCGCACCCTTTGCTGCCCAGTTGCAACGGATCTGTCTACTGCCAAGCCACTTTCCTGGAAGAAGAAAAAGAGCACCAAGTTTAAAAAATGATACCACAAAGACTACAAAGGGTAGAGGTAATATCATAAACACTGAATTTTTACCCCAATTTTGGACAACAACACAGGGTTTGATCAACATGTGGCCAGCTCTCCACCCAAAGCTATCAATTTCTGAGTTGGCTAGGAACTACTATTATTTCCTGACTTCCAGTTTCATACAACTCAGAAAGTGGCAGCTTTTGAGCGGTGAGAACACACCTAAACAGGGGCATAAAGAGGCACCCTGACATGCAAATGAAACACAAACAGGTCAACACCTAAATACCACAGAACCATGGTTTGTTGTGGCATCCTAATGACGCTTCTGTATGTCAAACGATCAAAATATACTATGAAGAACTTAAATTTTGCTGCACTGCAATTCATACCACATGTGCAGATAGGTGCTTGGGTGGGACGTCTAAAAGATAACTAAGGCATCCATCATCGTCAAGGATTGGCCAAGGAATGAACAGTATATAAATTGCTCTTGTACCACATGTGCAACAGCAGAAACATCAGAGGAAGCCATAACAAAATATTTGTCAAATGTATCCACAGAAGTGAGGAAGGTTGTCCTCAAGGTAGGCAGATCCCCAATGGGGCACTAATAGCATATGAGAGATGGATTTGAAAAACTACTCCACTCTCCACATACAGAGAGACCATTTATCAAAAAAAAGAGAGATAGGGAGAGCACAGATATTGAAAACACACATGCCCACCACAGTTGGAGTAGTTAGCAGTCTGAACTGTAAAACAGTGAACTGGTCAGCTTTCCAGTCTGGTTGAGCCCCCCGAACCGAAATGTCCATCAAACTCCAGTGCACCAGCACTTACCATTCTGACACAGACAATTTGACCAGGCTATACTCATGAATCCCAAATTGGGGTTTGGAGTTCCCTCCCTTCAGGCTCATTTTACGCTTGTGCACGCATTAGCCTCACAGCTGCCTACTTTGAAAAACCAACCATTAAGAGAATTTTGCAGAAAGTTGTCCCGGTGCTATGACTGTATTCATTTTTTCCCTTTCTGATAAATAAAGAGAAGAAAAGTTATGTCAAGTAGAATGCAAGATGCACACTTGAGGAAATCCCTGGAAAAGGAAGGACAGATTTGCAAGTTTTTTTTACTTGTTGGTATGCATATAAGAACAGTACTGTGTTAATAAGTATGATGTCACCTAGCAATCCCATTCAAGATTTTTATGTCAGTGATGACTGGAAAGGTCACAAGACTTTGAGTGACAAAGACGGCAGTCTTCAGGTGTATTCAGTTAAATGAGAAGAGCTCAACAAAACATTGCTAGAGAAATGGTGTCGTAGCTTTATGAATGCATGAGGAAGCAAATGAAGGAACAATATTTTGGAATAAAGTACAAGTGTTGGTAAGGCAGGTAAGGAATGGTCATGGTTCAATGATAGGGCTATAAGTAGTAATTAGGAAAGAGTAGGAAATGCGATATATCTTATTTTATTTGTTTTGGAGGATCGGGAATCCTTGATGTAAGTAGAATGTGTATCACAAAAATTTTGGGTTACAGATGGAGAGTAATGCCTACGTTTGGGATTGCTGCAATTAGAGAGGGAGTATGGTCTTATGGCATCTCGGATGAAGGTTCTAAGTATGTCATGAAGTTGGCTTGTTGGAGGGATTCTCATAGTGTGGGGATATGCAAGTTTGGATTTGGGAGCCATGCAGATTTTTCGCAATCAATTCATCCTATAGAGATCCATGTTGGAGGTGATAGAAATTTCCATAGGTATAAGCATTACACATCATACCTTGTTGCTGTGTTGACAAATGAAGGAGCCAAGTTCCCACTTCTCAAAGGAAACCATATCAATACCAGTTGTTTTCCCATGTCATGTAAATAGAAGCTGAGGAGGTGGTGAAGCATCTTTTGTTGCACTATGGCTTGCAAGTAGACTAGGGTAGTTTTACGCAACCTTGTTAACATATCATGGCTCACACCCAAATCCCTGGTGGCCCTCATTTCCTTCTTCCCCTCAAATTCATGCCCAAAGAGGCTCAAATTTCATGAGTTATTTGCCATAGCCAAGCTTTTAGCAGACAAGTGATTGATGGATTTAGGAGTTCGAGAAGTGAATAGTTGTATCAAGAACATATTATAAAGTAAATATTATATCAAACGAAACTTGGGTAGGGATGGTTTAAATTATTAGTGGCCAAACTGGTGAAGGAATGCAATTTGAACGAATATGGAGGTAGCTCAGAGCTAGTGAAATCAGGCCACTGAAAGGAACAGTGTGATGTTCTAACCTCCTATTTTATAACAAACACCATGCTAATTTTCATTCTAGCAAGAACAATAACACAAAATACCCCACATAAAAACCACTTTCACTAAAGGACATTAAGTGTTAAGAAAATCGAGTAAATCTACAAAACCTACCATAGGCATCCATGCATCCATACAAAGATGCACAAATCCATAGATACATGCATACGTAGAGAGAGAGAGAGAGAGAGAGAGAAAGAGAGAGTAAGAAGCTGAGTACACCACACATAAAAAGATAGAAATCAGCAATTTTTTTAATAAAGAAGATTGCATATAAACAACACAAAATCGTGTTTCTACTCCAAATTTTGTTTCTGAATTTTTAAAAATCCCACTTCTTGTAACCTAAAATCAAAATAAAAAGAAGCACAATATATTTAAATATAGAAGCCAGTGTTCAATTAAGATAGTTTAAAAAAAGAGGCCTGCCTGCCAAAAACAAAAAAAAAAACCACCGAAAGGCAGAAGATCTAACATGTTAATATAAAATATGACCATGTCAGACTAATAGCAGCAGTAGCATGCACATGTCGAACATAGAATTGCATCACACGCAACTGACAAAATATAACAAGAATGAGTCAAATATGTGATAATAGTAGACATGCAATCTCATTTCTCTTACCATTCTGCTCATTTATAGCATTCTGCGCATCCTGCCAAAGGACATAACAATGAGGAGAATGAGAAACATGTATCAAAAAATTCAAAAGTCTTTTAAACATACTTTCAATGTAACTTACCTGCTGATTACGGAAAGAAACAAATCCAAAGCCTCTAGAACGTCCAGTTTTCTGATCCCACATAACTCGTGCATCTCTAATCAATTCCAAGACTCAATAAGAAGGGATTCTTAAGTGTAAAATCTTGTTTATCAATTATGTAGTCTATCTCAAAATTTTAATATTTTATTTAAATCCACAAAAGAACTTGAAGCTAAGCAGCTAATTGTTAGCACTTCTAGCACAGGCATCAACACATCTTCAACAAAGGTTGCTATCACACTTAGTTGGAATTTTCCGTTCATCTCAAAAGAGTTAATCATTATAATTTCTATTTGCAAAAGGATATTTAGTAATTCATATGCTATTGAGATATGAATAAGCACAGATATAGTGTCCAATGAAATTTGGATCACTAGTGCAATAGAGATGATGAGGAAGGAGGGTGTTGTAGTCATTTCTAGAATTCGAAAAGACAAGCAAGACAAATATTAAAAATTGGAAACTTCTATTCATCCCACTTCCTGTTTGTATCCCAAAAAAAACCAAGATATGTTGTTCATTTTCACCATAATAATTAGAACTTTACATACATGAAGAAATCCCCCCTCTCCAAAAATATTTGCAACACAAATATCTGAAGGCAAAAACTGTCTAAAATTGTTCAAGGCCAATGACATTCTACTCAAGAAATGATTGTCATGCGCTTATAGTTGATAGAGTGGATGCTTTAGCTTTTATTATGGAAGGAGTGTTTCAACACTTCTTTGATTATTTGCATCATCAAAGATGACAACTAGCTGCCTTCTAATTTCAGGAACCACTAAAAAGATGTTATATTTTGTAAACATATTGATATCTTGTATAACTTTGCCTGCAAAAATAGTAAATTTTGTCTCATCTCTAATCAATTCAAGTTTCCAGCCATGAAATTTGATTTCACACAGTTTTTCCATAAATGGATACATGCAATCTGTATGGAAAAGTTGCCAAATCCAAGACCATCATAAAACATTCTGCACACTAATTATGTTGCTCAATGATAGAAAATTTCTCAGAATAACAGTTATAGAAAGTTTCTCAGAATAACAGTTACATGGCAGAGGAGGAAAACCAGAAAGGTCACATGGAACTTACGAACAGCTGCTGTAAGTTGAGAAACACGCAAAAAGTGTGGCATCAGTAACATCAGAACTAAGATCACCAACAAAAATGTTGTAGTGCCCTAAAATCAGTCAAAAATAAGTGTCTTAATGTCGTACACAATACCATAACATGACAGAGTGGCTAAAAAAAATTTGAGAAAAAAGAAGACAAGCAATAACCTGATGTATCCTCCCTATGAGCACTTGTAAATGCCCAGTTAACTTTAATTGGCTGACCAAACCTTCAAATAAAAATTTCAAAAGAAAATCAGGAAAATATGTAATACATTCTGAAAGGACTGAGGTTACCTAAGTAACTTAAAAGGCAGTTAATTTAAATAGAATACTTACAGAAGCCTTCCATTTAAAGTCAACATCGCCAGAGCAGCAGATCTGCGGTCATAGTAATCCACAAAACCGTAGGATGACTGCAAAGAAGTAGATTTCAGAAGCAACAGATGATTATTGGATGTAACATCAAGTGATGGTGTGTAATAAAATTACGACAATAGATCAAGAGCCTAATAGAACAATCCACAAATCCATATTTAAGGAGCCAATTGGATAAATAAAGAAGAAAAAAAGGTTCCAGATAAAATTCTTCTCAGAAGCACTCACAAATATGCATCACAGGAGCTTTTATTGTTTTATATATAAATGTATGCTATATGCTATATAGCTAAAGAAGTAAAGAATGGGATTTGAACCCATGACCTTGCAGTAAGCAGCTGCAAGGCCTACCACTAACAGGTTCTAATTTATATGCTTTAAAATTACAATGATAGATACATATGTATTATGTATATTGATAGATACATATGAATTATGCATATAATATACATATGTATGCATACATACATGCATGTGTGTATTTATGCACACGCACGCACACGCTCACACGCATACACGCACACACACATATGGATATGACTTCAATCTCTCCGTTTTCCCACAATCCAACACAGGATCTGTGGGTGGACAATCAGCCCCACAGATCTAGGTTTTCAAACACTGGTCATGACTAAGGAGTCTTCAATTCTTCAGACTTCTCAACACCCCTTTTTTTTTTTGAATCTTGATTTCTCGCCACTTAAGTGGCATATATCAGCTTTTTCTCCCTCCTTATGTTAACAAACATAATACATAAAGCTATCAAGAAAAAGGAACTTCCATCAGGTAAAGTGGTCTGGCTCTTTCTATTTGTCCTAATTTTCAAACAGATGAGTGAACCTCTGTTTGCTTATGCCATTGGGCACAACTAGATGGATGAATTTCCCCATAATGGGACTTATCAATCAAATAGTATTAAATACTATCAACCTTTCAACTTGAGATAATACTTCTAAAACTCGACAAAAAATAACAATTATGAAATATAAAAACCTGAAATTATGCATAAAAGTGCAAAAAAAAATATCTGTAATTACATGATGCATGTGATTTCCTAAAGAATAAGGTGCTTATCTTGTCAACAACCTCCCCAGATTTCAGGTTCATTTACCATCAGTTAGAGCTACCCAAACAATTTCATGGTGTTTCTTAAAACACATCCAAAGTAAAAGGTGTTTCAAAACAATGACCGTTCAAGGGGATGCAATCAAGTAGCAATACTCATTACTACAGTCACTCATACAAATCCACATAGAGCAATCACCAAACAAGAACACAAGTAGAAACACATGGCACATAGGTATACATTGTTACCTGGCTTTCAAAGAAAGAGGATACAGTACTAACTAAAAAGAAAAAAAAAGGAAAGAGAAGAGAACAACAAAGTGTGTTGAGTCAAAATGTCAAATTAAGCCAGAGTAATATAAATTTAAGAATATTGGAAAAAAAAATGAGATAAAAAAGAACCACAAAAAAACAGAAAAGAAGAAACTTGATACAAAAAACAGAGTAAACAAGCAACAGAAAACTGTAAAAATAAAACACACTTCCACTGTAGTGTCCGATCGGATGCTGGTACTTCCTTTCGAACCATACCAAACAAAGTATGAAAAGGAAATACAAATCCAAAACTACATATAAGAAGAACAGGGGAGAACATACAAGCATTGCACAAAGCATGTCAATCAAACAGTAAACTAAAAGACTCAGCTTCCACAAGAAGAAAATCAAGAAACGATTTTGAAGGAGGAAATCGTCTTGAAGGCTTAAGTAGTCATTAAATCCCAGTTAAACCAAACTAGTTTGTGCTATCCCCAAGACATCCTACCTTAGAAGCACAAGAACAAGTGAGACAAATTCTCACCATATTACGTGTTTGGCTGCCATGCACGCCAAAGTTCCTAGAATATCAATTCAACCAATACATTACTACCCAAAATTGTTCTCTTTTTTTTTAGAAAAATTGCTACCCAAAAATCTACCCTTGAAGAAATGTCATATCATTGGAAACTTAAAAACATGCACATCCTTAGTGTAGGTATGTCTTTCAGCAGTAGGAATCAAACTTGGAACATAGTGTTATACTCATCAACATCTCACCAATCAAGCCCAAGCTGGATTCCTAAATAATACATAGGGGTAATGGTGGGGTTCGAACCATACTTGTTGGGACCAGGAGCAAATTGGGAGCGGAACAGAGATCGGGAGCCGGGGCCATTGTGAGAGGCTAGAAGATCCCTATTGTTGGAAGCATTATCCATCCAATGCATATTTTAGGGATTGAAATCCCTAAATGTTAGGGATCAAAATCCCAACCTTTTGGGGTTCTTGATCTCGACCTTTTGGGATATTAATCCCAATATTTTGGGGATCTTGCTCCAAACCATAAAGAGTATATATAGTCTAGGACTATACATACTCTTTAAAGTAGGGATCTCTTTGTTTATAGCTAGCAAGCAATGCAACTTTATTAAAAGTATAGTTGCATTGCTAGTTCGCTTGGAAATCTTCATGCGGTCGTTATCGTGGTCTTTAAGGTGGGCATTGAGATCACTAATAGCGAGGACCGAGATCCCTAACAGGTGGGATCGAGATCCCAAAATTTAGAAACTGAGATCCTTTGAAGATACCTTTCCCAAAACAGGGGAGCAAGATTCTAGAGTGTGATCACCACCTAGGTTATGAGATATTTTAGGTTTTGATTTTCCTCAATTTTAGCACCTCCACATTCACTAGTGTGCGTAACTTCATGGAACTAGTTAGGACATTTAGCAAAGCATACATATCACATCATTGCAACACTTCATGCCATTAGAGAATAACAACTGATTCATTACTTCTGAGCTCTGTACCACATAATAGAATTATGCAAAAAATATGATCTTTAGGACTCCAGAACCCTTTCCTGAAACTTTTAAAAAATTGACAGGCCAGATAACTAATCCTGCCGACTCACTCATTATCCCATTTCCTGTACATGCTTCAGGACAGGCCAACCTCACTACACACAATGAAGGGAGTCCAAGATAATACAAGAGCCATATCTTTTCTTCCTCAACAACAGGTCATCCTATGTGTTGTGTGTTTTCCTTTTTCATGGCAACAAGTGCAATCAGTTTACAGCATATCAACAACACCCATGTAAGAATGCTTTGTTTCTGTTTCTTTAGTTATTAAATCTCCTAGATATCAGTCACAAGGTACACAGCAACGACAAAATAATGTTGAAATAGACAGGATATCATACAGTCAACGAGACTGAGTCTTCTTGAGGCAAGTTATTAGCATACTGAAAAATTAACACATCAATGCATGCTATACGTTGAAGATAACTTGCCACAAAAGAAGAATATTCAAAAGCAATACATTCTCCAGTCAAACAAGTATTAACATAAATAAACAGAAGATCAGAAAAAGACTTCTAAGGCTACGATGTTTTGAGTACTCTTCATAACTTTCAGCAAAAAATGAATTTCGCAGTGTTTCCCCTTAGAAATAAAATTATTACATATGCTTTCTCGAAGAACAAACCTTTTCCTTTCTGATGAGTTTACATCCTTCCAATGGGCCAGCACTCTGGAAAACCTCTTGAAGCATGGCTTCTGTGACATTGACATGAATGTTTCCCACATATCTGCATTCCTCGTGAAGAAGACAACATGAGAAACAACATAAAAAATCAAAAAAGAAAAGAGAGAGAGAGCGAGAGAATCAATTTTTACCATTTTGATTCAAAAAATGCCCTACTTAGTTAAGACAAAAACACAATATAAATTAGAAGATAAGGGCGGAAAAAAACAACCCAATCCCCTGACACGTGGGGAGAACCGACTAATTTGAGTGCCATTTTAATTCTTGAGTGAGGAGGGAAACAATTCAAAGCGTGATCCACAACATCTTCTGATGAAGAAAAGAAAAACTAAAAAGAAAATAAATGAAAAAGAAAACAATTGATCTTAGAACTCACACACTGCGGCATGAACTCGAATCGAACCCAGGAGGCAGATTTCCGCTTGGGATCGGCTCAATCTGCAAATAAAGTAAAAAATAACCCCCATAAAAATAAAAAATCCTGCCCCAAATAAAGACAAAAAAATAAACATCCCACAGTACCTAAACCTAGATAACCTGTGAGCTAACCCTAAAACCAACCAGTGATTAGAGGGGTGCATGGAGACTATCAACTGCACATACCCAACTTTGGAATACTAATTCGAGTATATATAAGTTTATTGAGAACGCCTTCATTTTCTCTAGATAAGCACATATTTTGCTTAATAACCCAAATAAATAGAAAAAAAAAAACAAATAGCCTATATTCTGTCTGCATTCCACGGACTAAACAGGTAGACAGGAATCAAAAGGAGGCATGCAAAGAGAATAGAAAAAAATTGAACCATACAATTCATGTTTTTTACCACTACCAGTACAAAAAGAAAAAACTGGAAATAAATACAAGGGACAAAAGAAACCTCCCAAACTCCACCCTTTCTGTAAGAACCCCTTCATTTTCTCTAGATAAGCACATCTTTTGCTTAATAACCCAAAAAAGTAGAAAGAAAAACCGACAGTCTATATTCTGTCTGCATTCTGACGGACTAAACAGGTAGACAGGTATCAAACAGAGCCATGCAAAGAGAGTAGAAAAAAATTTGAACCATACAATTCATGTTTTTTACCACTACCAGTACGAAAAGAAAAAACTGGAACTAAATACAAGGGACAAAAGAAACCTCCCAAACTCCACCCTTTCTGTATAATTTGTGCGAATAATGGAATGTCATAAAACATTCATCATCTAAAACAGCTCACTGTTACATTCTCAACAGTTAAAAGTGAAAATCTGTGAAAGAAAGGAAGTATGACAATATACAGAGTTCCATTTTTAATGTGATCTTAAAATAAATGTACCTGGAAATATAAAACCGGAATAAAACACAGTTAAGTAATCAATAACCAGATTGCAACTAAGAAAAGAAATAATCTTCAACTTTTCAAGTGCATGAAAACAAACACTACATGATACTGAACCATATAAGCCCTCAGAACTCCGTTTTATTCAAACAATAACACATATTAGTTATAGGAAACCCCCATATATCAGACAAAGCAGTAAAAAGTACAAATTTTGTAATGTTTAAACTTGTGACCATCACAAGACAGAGGAAGACACACAAGTAGATAAATCAAAAACTAGGTCACTTCTGAGACATGGAAATATATCAATCAGAAAATACGTATTTAAAGTTACCCTAAGGAGATAAAAACACAAAAATCAAGGAAAAAAGTAAGACATAAATACATATCTATCAGAAAACAACAACCTTTAAGATCAATTCTTGATAAGAATGATGATCAGATCTCCGAAACACAAGGTTTCAGACACAAATTGGCTGAATTCAAATGCATAAAACTCAGTAAAACCTTCAAAAAAAAAAATACGATACCTGTGACATTTGGGCGAGGAGGTTTGGGTGATACATAGACTGCTGCTGTTGTTGAAGGAAGGTTTGTTGCAAAAGAGCTTGCTGCTTCATTCTCTGCTGCATTGTTCTTTCCAAAAGCCCACGCTGATCCAAGCAAAAAAAACCCTCGAAAATTAGGGCTCGAGCACAAGATGCCCTAGAAATTTAGGGGTTTTCGTGGGAAAAACCAGAGCAATAAACCTCTGGACTAGGGCAGGGCTCTCTCCAAAACGGTGGGCCTCAAAGAGACGGTCGAAGAGAGAGGTTTTATGCATTTATATGAGAGGAGGAATGACCAAAATGGAGCTCGTCATGTCTAGAAATTACTGTAGATATGGAAATAAGCAGGAAAATATCTCTTCCTAAAATAGGGAAAAACTATCGCATTTTGTTAAGGAAAATTTCATAAAACCCCTCAAAATGGATTTAAGCCACTTAACTATTTCTAATAATGTTTTCCCCAAATTTATCTTTTCTAACAAATAACCCCCAACATAAAAGGTTCATTTTTTTTGACAAAAATACCCTTCCCATACATAACCAATCAATTTCGAATCCCAATAAAATAAACACCGGACCGAGCCTTACAAACACCGGATCGCACCCTCTATTGACGTATTCACCGGACCGCCCCTTCGTAACACCAGACTGGGCCAATTCCAGTGACTTCAATGCCAAACTGCCCCTTCCAAACGTCGGACTACACCATTTACAGTGACTTCAGTGATGGACTGCCCTTTTCAAGCACCAGACCGGTGAGTTGCGGTGACCTTAATGCAAGACTACCTCCTGGAACTGCCAGACTGGTCGCTTGAAGTGCTAGACTACCCCTTCAAAACGTTGGACTGGGCCAATTCCAGTGATTTCAATGCCGGACTGCCCCTTCAAAATGCCAGACCGCACCATTTACAGGGACTTCAGTGCCGGACTACCCCTTCCAAATGCCGGATCGACGAGTTGCGGTGACCTCAGTGTCGGACTGCCCCTTCGTAACGTCGGACTGGGCCAATTCCAGGAAAGGGTATTTTAGTCTACTTTTTTTTTCTTTTGAGTTAGGGGGTTATTTGCTAGGAAAGATGTTTTTTGGGGAAATAATTGATAGAAAAAGTTAGATAGGTGGCAAAGTGCCTGGAAAGTCCATTTTGGGGGGTTTTATGCAATTTTCCCTTTTATTAATCCTCTTGACTCGAAACTGGTTCCCGGTGTGCAACGTTCTAAACCCGACAGGTCAGGTCAGGGTCCAATCCATTCATATCCACCTCTATTATTACCTATATATTTTATCATGGAAATTTATCTAGCCATCCCCTAAAAGATGCATTGCTTAGTCTTTGACCCATTCGTTTCAAAATGCTTAAAAGATTATGCGGAATAAACAATAATGAGGTAAAATCAATTGAGAGTATGGTTTTATTTTAAACAATTAAAGTAAGACATGTTTGAAGATGCAATTTTAATGCCAAAAATTCTTATATGGCTTAAATCTAGTTTCACTCTTAATTATGAAAACCAATTGAGAGTATGGTTTCTATTTTAAACTATTAAAGTAAGGCGCATCATCAAACCCAGTTTTGAAGATGTAGTTTTGATGCCAAAAATTCTTATGATGCCCTAAAAATCTAGTTTTAATTATGAAATTCAGCTCAAAAAATGATGCAAATATATAAATACTTGAAAATATTGGAAATGGACCATTCGGATAAGATGCTACAAGATGAGCTTTTTTTAGGATTTGAAAACAAAAATCAAATCAATGTATCTCGAGGTCAGGATGATCAATTTGAGAGGATTTCAACATCAAAACAACTTTTTTGAGTGGATTTCTAAGATGTATCTTGCTTTTATAATACCATGTTGATGCATTATGTAAATTTTTGGCCCATAGTATTTCACCAACTCTTTTGAACCTAATTTTGAAAAGCCTTAGACAATATAGCACATTGGCTATTGGATGTGACCATTAATTTTTTGTACAAGAAGATCACAATTTTTCTTGGGCATTGGATGTGAAATCTACTATATTAAAATGTATCACAGCTTTCAAGAAAATTAGTTTCGGAATTTGTACTCAATTAATGATACATCATGACCCATCTGATTTCACATCCAATGGTTGACAATGATTGTGACCTTCTTGTATACAAAATAAATGATCTCATCATATATATTTCCTCAAAATTAATGGAGAGTTAGTTTTCAACCATAATAGCAAATATAACTTTGAACACCATATATAGGATGTATTTTTTTTATACCAACACCTCGTTCTAAAACACCCTATAAGACCTTATTTTATTTTTTTTATACCAACACGTCGTTCTAAAACACCCTATAAGATGTTATTTTTCAACATTAGTGTCTTCTAAGTGAATTACCTTGTGAGATATTGGTATCCTTGCATATTAATATATATTTATCTTACCTTATTAAAAAGTACTTTTAAATATCAATATTTCATTAGTGATCAATTTTTACAGGAAATATTGATATTCAAAATACTAAAATACTGCTAAATAAGTCACCTTGTGAGATATTGGTGTTTCCAAACACCAATATTTCACTAACTCGCCCATGAGATATTTATATTTCTAAATATGGACAATTTTATGGCATATCTAGAGTGGGGATTGTCTAAACAGGGGCCATTTATCTATTGTATATGAAGGTCAAAACTATTTTCCCTCATTAAATGCCAAATTCGATTGCTTGGGGTGAGCCACTAAGTCCACTATTTTTTTATTTTTTTTTACCTTTGTGTCTATTCAATGATACTCTTACAACCACCCATTTCTAAATTTAAGGGACAAGAATAATTGTGACCTCCATTTACAAAAGATGAATAGTCTCTTTGTAAACAATCCATTTAGGGGTTGTTTGGGTACCTGAAAATATATTATCTGTGAAATACATTACTGGAGTAATATATTATCTGCAAATGAATTATTATTGTTTGGGTAACATCAGGATACATCTTGTGTGAAGTATATTGCTACTGTTTGTCTACGTCTAGAAGAAAGCTGGGAAATACATTACTACCATTTTTTCCTTAAATATATTCCATGAATTTTACATATAATAATGTGAGGTTTTTTACAGGTTTTAATATATTTTCGTTTTTAAGAAAAATATCAGTTGAAACTAAACCAGAGTATTCATGTACAAATCCCATAAGGATGGCAACGGGTCAGGTTGGGTCCATGTCCGACCAGACCCAGACCTCGACCCGAAAAAAAAAAAAGGGGTCCCGGATCCGAACCTAGACTGAACCGAAAAATAAAAAATATTTAAATATATTTAAATGTTATGTAAAATATATACATATGTTATTTAAATATTATAACTAAAATATATAGTTTTATTTATTTAAATATTAATAAAATATTATTTATTAAATATTATTTATATAATAACACTATTTGGGTCGAGTGCACATGGACCCAGACTCGAATATTCTTGACCAAGACATGGACCCAAGTCGGGTCCAGAGTTGGGTTCAGGTCTATGTCCATTGCCACCCCTACAAACCCAATCTACATTCTTCTTATAGTCCAAGAACAAAACTAGGCTGTTTATACTCGAAAATGCGAGCAAGGGACTTCGCCCCCGCCTTGGTTTCAGGTGCAAATAAATTGAAGAGAAAATGAGTCATGTTAAATTGCCTTTCAAAGGAGAGCCGTATCCCTCTCGGACCGCCGGCAAAGCCGGCTTCCCTCTTATTTCAACCATTGAACTCAACAAGAAGATTTGCGAAAAGGGTTTGAAGACAAAAATGAGGCTTTAGAAAAATAGATGTAGAAAAGTGAGATGAGAAAATAAACACAAATAAATTAACAAACTAGGAGGATAAAGATATACATGAGTAAATAATCTAACTACAAAATGTAAAAAGAACAAGAAAGTAAAAAGCATGCAGACTATCTATTCTAACTAACTACCTGGATAAAAGAAAAGTGTAAATAAGACCTAAGAAATGAGCTAGGCTACAAAACAAGAAAATAGAGGTGAAAAGAAGAGGGGGATAATGATATGTATTAAATGAGTTGTAGAGGAGAAGGGAATGAGAGTAAAAACATTTACTAAAAGAAACAAAGATGGGTGAAAGCAAATTAGAAATAAAAGGTAATAAATAACACAAAAGAGAATAAATACAAAGAAATATGAAGAGTGATACTAATCTTCTAAATAAAAATGCCAGAGGAATAGTAAGAAATAAGTACAAAAAGGGGAAAGAGAGAGAGAGAGAGAGAGGAGGGACGAAGGGAGGGAGGGAAAGGCTTAAACTGCAAAAAGGGAAAAATAAAAATAAATGCAGCCAAATAAGATAAATGAATACTAAATAAAAAGATGATGAGAGAGATGGCTAAAAGCAAATAAATAAGTGCAAGAAATATAATATTAAAAGTATAAAAATAAAGGAATAGAATAGACCATAAATAGAAAAAAAATAGGGAAAGAACATAAATAGAACTAATCTTAAAGAAATAAATGCAAAAAAAAAAAAGAGGGAAAAGAGAAGAAAACAACACTTGAAGGCGAGCCCCTAAGCCCAAGGCCAGAGTCGACGTCGATTCAAATTGAGTGGTTGCATAGTTAATCCCGAACTTTTGGTTTTTAATGGGGCAAATAGAAATAGGACGAAGAGAGCCCAAAAAGTTGGATTATCTAGACTCCATTCGGTTTCATAGTATAGCTTGAAAGGGTTTGAAGATTATGTCTTGGATTCAAGGTTTTAGGATGGATGAGGGGTTGCTCAAGTGGGCTAACACCTACGGCTTTCTCACACAACCTGAAGCCTAAACTTTTAACTTGCTTCAGCTCAAAGATAGAGAGGATCCGACCCTAGCTTAAGCTCAAGAATGAAGCACATTTGGACATTAAGCTTGAGGCAAAAGAGAGTATTTATAGGCAAAGTAGGCTCATTACAACCTATAGGCCAGTTTTGTGTGAAATTCGGACCATCAAAATTCTGGCGATAATTGGAATGTTGTCCGAGGCACTTGAACCATCGCCACTATCATTAATGCGATATTAATGACAGTCAACAAATATTAATAGCTATTTAATGCAGTTGATATGGTTCTGTGAGAATCTGGCACTATTAGCAATGACGTCAGTGGCCTTTCGACTACCTTTAAATCTCTAGTTGGACAAGTGTCGCCTTCTCTTGAGTCTGATCTGCATCTGATGGATTAATCACAATTCGGAGATGCCCCGAATGATGCTAGAGACAGTTGTAATGTCGTCAAATGGCAGTTGGTGCCGCATTGGT